TCTGCATCACACCTACATTTCGTGGTTACTTACCCAGAGGGCGCTCACGCTTGCTTCCAGGTGCGAATCTGCCCTTGGTAGGATGTCACTTGTGTTGGTTATCACTTTATGACAACACCAATCTGCCTTTGGTAGGGTGCCACTTCTATTGGTTGTCTTGTGGAGGGCCTGCGAGCAATTTATTGAAGCAGTAAAATATGATTGTGTACTTCAATTTTAGAATCACAGCTCCATGATTACATAGGCAATACATATCTCCAAGTCTTGTATCTAATTGCAATCATAATTATTTGCCCAATTAACCGTTTTTAATAACGACAAGTACTTTTTATGATAGCTGCTCTCCTGTATTATTGGCATCCTGCATTATTTTGTAGGTTATTTCATTAAAAAAGGCACAAACGCATTCGTGCGTGCAAGCTATCGTGCTACACGTTGCTCGAAAAAAGGTACTCTCGCAGCGTTGGCCGCGATGGTCAAAAGTTTGCTGCCAACCGCAACCTTCAAATCGCTTCTTGATCAGCGCCACCACCGGCCAAGTTGTGAACTATCGCTGATGTATACATATGATGTTTATATACCAGCGCCTATCACCTGATAACTCGGGACCCGGGGCGCTTACTGTACACTCTACCAGTTAATAAAATATTAATTAACAACACAAGTGCCTATCACCCGGTGAACTAGGTCGCGTACTGGCCACTCTATTGATTAGTAGGTTGTTAATTAATACTACAAGCACCTATCACCCAATGACCTGGAGCACTTACTGACCACTCTATAAATTGGAAAACAATAATGTATAACACAAGCGCCTACCAACTGATGACCCAGGGCTGCATTTACAATTTTAAAAAAATGATTCTAGAAGAGTATTTAATAGAACGAAATAAATAATAAATTTTAAATAAAAATTAAAGCCCTTATTGGTTTATTATATAGAGAGATATTATTAAGTATTGCGGTATCCTTTGTAAACACTCACCTATATTCCTAATAATTTTTAGTAATTATTTTTACCTCGAAAAGCTTCTCTTCACGAAGATAGAAGTGTCACGGCCGGTCAATTAAGGGCCGGACTGGGGACACCTATTCCCTCTCACCGAACACATTTAAGGTGTTCGATAAAAGGGGGGGACCACGGGGTGGGAGAGCAAACGGCTTCCTCACGGACGTTTGGCCGAGAGGCAGTTTTTTGAGGAGAAAATGTCATCGTCTTAGCAACGATAGACAACATTGATTTTCACTTTATGTTTTTGTATGTTACTATGGGCGAGCGTATTTTGTTTTTTGTTTTTTTGGTTACTAGCGACGGGAGATAAAAAAGAAAGTGTTGAGCAAGCGCGCTTTCAGAATTTTCGCTGCGAATTTTCGAAGCAAGAACATCGTTTTGTAACGAGATATTGTTGTTAAAATAAATATTTTAATTTTTAAGAAGTGACATTTTTATTTACTACTTTCGTACAGAACAGTAAGGGTTATGGTCAATTATTTACTGATAATATTGATTGTTAGAAAATTAAAGACTCATGATGCAACGTTAGAGTAATCTTAAAAAGATTCTGAAATTTAATATTCATTAATTAATAGGCCTTAATAGCACTAGGATAATTATATGATACATACATTAAAACAGTTTTTTTTTTTTTTGTACTCTTATATAAAAATGTAGCGTCCAAGACGTACTGTTTTATAGGATTGCGATGTCATCAATTTAATACTTCAATTAATTGTGAAATTTGACAAGGATCTTTGGTAATAGGCGCTTGTATTAGTAGTTAACAATTTATTTAATAGTGCGGCCAGTAAGCGCTCCAGGACATGGGTGATAGGCGCTTGTGTTATGAGTTCATATTTTATTAATTAATAGAGTGGCCAGTAAGCGCCCTAAGTCATTGAGTGATAGATGTTTTTCTTATTATTTAAGATTTATTATTCTATAATGTGGCCAGTAAACACCCCGGGTCACCAGATGATAGGCACTTGTGTTATTAATTAACATTTTCTTAATTCATATAGCGGCCAGTAAGCCCCCTAGGTCATTAGGTGGTAGGCGCTTGTGTTATCAATTAATTATTTTATTAATTAATAAAGTGATTAGTAAGCGCCCTTGGTCACTTGGTGATAGGGGCTTTTGTTATTTTTAAAGATCTATTATTTTATAATGTGGCCAGCGAGTATTCCAGGTCATCGGGTGATAGGCACTTGTGTTATTAACTAACGTTTTATTTATTCATAGAGTGGCCAGTAAGTGCCCCGCGTCATTGGGTGATAGGCGCTTGTGTTATAATTTAGGATTTCATCATACATCAGCGATAGTTCATAGCTTGGCCGGCGGTGGCGCTGATAATGAAGCGCTTTGAAGGTTGCGATCGGCAGCAAACTTTTGACCATCGCGGCCAACGCTACACTCTCGCACGAGTGCTTCTAGGTGGCGTATAGGCGCTTCCGTACCGCTCATAAAGCGAGCGCGCACGACTCATGGTCTAAGAGTCGTTGCCCGATCGCGCCGAGCACACACACAGACACGCACCCATAGTGCTTAGATATTAACATCGCCATGCCTCTGCGTCCGTGTGATCGATGCTGCGACTTCGTCGCAATTTATATTAATAATCATATCATCTGGCATATAATTTTATGGAAGTATAACTTCTTACTTGGGTACCCAAGCACCCACTGTCCAATGAACATTTAACCGCTCTCGCACCAACTCTCATTATGTCTCTCTCTCTATTCTCTCATTAGCTAAACATTTCTCTCCTTCTCTATCATGCAACTACATCTCCATCTTTTTTGCTTTCATTAAGGTCCTCGGGTCATAGATCTCTTCCCCTCTCTTAATTGCTTACATCATTCTTTCTCACTGACTTTTTCATGGTTTTTCAAATAAGGTGTAAGAGATTGACGGGTCCTGACAGCTGCAGCGGGTTGGAGAATTGAAAGGGGAGGGGGTTTTGCTACTACTTTGGGTGGGCACGCCGGATCAGTTCCTAACTCTCTGTCTATACAGAGCGGTCTACAGTTGTCAACTGCGATCTCGAGTATCTGGCATAGTTGGATATTATATTCGTTCTATTGGCTTCTACATATTTTCTCATCATCATCACGCACACGGGCATCTGGGTGTCACCTTTTCGGGGTTAATTTTTTTCTTACTTTTCATCACTAAATCATCATCGTCATCTGCATCATCTTCGAGGAGCTCGGCGTGCTGCGAGTAAAGCACGGTGAAAACTTGCTTCACGGACCATGCGATGTTTGTCGATTCGTGAGTTTTTTGAGAAACGTGCGGACGCGCACATGTACGTTTTCTACACACAGCGACAGCGAGATACCGTCGAACCATCATCGGTAGGCTAGGACAGATAGGGAAAGAGGAAAAGCGTAGAGGACAGTTAGGAAAAGAGGGAAAGAAAAAAAAGCCGAAAAGAGATTAGATTAGCTTGGACCGGCGAGCGCGCGTGAAGCGAGTTTTTGTTATGGTTTGCAAGAAGCGAATTTTGTTTTGGTGGACGTGAGAAGCATCCTCCGGAGTTTTCCTGTTGCTGCGATTGTTGTGGCGGCTGTGCTTGAGCTGTCCCCAGTGCAGTGCTTGGTGCTGAGTGTCCTGATCCTGCTGGGATAGCAGGCGACGCCAGACTCAGGGTCACGAAGGCCGATACCGTCGATCTCGGCCTTCGAACGCTGCCAGTAGGGACGCCTTCTGATCTCAGCGTATCCGCTCTACTGCTCCCGAGTAGACTTGGCCTGCGAGAGGCATCGTCGAGGAGCGACTCCGCATCGCCGTAAGTACCTGCCAGCAGGCAGCTGATTGTAAAGACCCTCGAATAGCCCGCGTTATCTGCCCGGTTCGCGAGTTTGCGCCGCGAGCTTGTCGAGTATTCGTCGAGTAACAACACATACACACGTGCGCACTTTTCATTCCAAGACATTTTATCTCGAAATTATAGTTCAACCTCACTAGTTTGTTTTTTCGTAAATTTTTCTTCTCTTGGGTTTTTCTCTTCAGAGTTTTTCCCTTGAGCCACGAAATATATCTTCGTTCGTGGCTCATAATCAGTGCATTTCTTTTGTATTTTACCCAGTTCCTTCCCATCCTCCGTTTAATTAAATTTATAGAAAATGTTTTTTTAAGTAGATTTTGTTTCATCATTCGTCAATTACGCAGTTTTTATGTACCGCGATCCCTCGTCAACTTATAATTAATAAATTAGTTTCCACCTGAAAAAAAATGTCGGAATTTTATGTAGAATTACTTCTGTAATACTTTCAGGACAGTCTTAGGGCATTACACATGGTTTTACATATGGCACTACATAAAGGGTTTTAGCTTGGTGATGCCATATGTAATTTCATATGGAAAAACACATGGAATTACTAATTGGAAAAAGAAAAAATTTCTATCATCTAGAATTAACTGCAAAATACCATAACAAGTTATTTGCGGTCATCACTTTTGCATACCATCGGGATGAAATCGGGATATATGTGTTTTTTCAAATGGAATTACATATGGCATTACCAAGCTAAAACCCCTTATGTAATGCCATACGTCAAACCATATGTAATGCCACATGGCTTTCCTGAAGGTATTACAGAAGTAATCCCACATGGAATTTCGTCTTTCTTTTTCAGGTGGGTTGACTTCGTCAAAATAGACACAGCCCACAGGGCAGCAATACTCTTGCTTAAATTCAGACAACTTTCTGACATTTTTTTCTGTCCTCATGACACTTTTTGTTGGGCTTTTGATCCATACAAAGAAATTTTTTGTCGTCCAGTCTGGATTTACCTCATATAGAGATGTTTTATCATTATTTCTTATATATTATTCCAAAAAACGATTTTCCTTAAAAAAGTTTTCTGATAGTTATAATTTCTAGTTGATTTTATTCCTTTTTATATCAATTAAAAAAATTACCAAACCGAAAATTAAATCTTTCTGGAGAAAAGACACCTACGTTTAACGTTTATAAACCAATTTTTAATTAACATAGTTATTCAGCCAACAAAGTAAAAATCGATATATTACTTACAGTTTCATCATTCCAAATGGCTTGAAGCTGTGTACCGAACATGACGGCAGTAAATACAGCAAAAAGAAGAGCTTCAAATGCCAAAAATAAGAGTAGGACTACCGTAGCTGGTGGACTAAAGGTTGTACAGTCACGCCACTCTTGCCTCACGCAACTTGTGAATTGTTGAATACAGAGAAACAGTGATTGCAAAGAAATGACGGCAACATAAAACTGCAATGATGATAAAATAAGGGTAAGTTATGACTAAGTAAGTAAAATACGGAATAATCCTAACATAGAATGTATTAACTTACAGTAAAAAGAACGAAGTATTTTTGATTGTTTTCACCAACGCAATTGTTGACCCAAGGACAGTGGTGATCCATTTTTCGAATGCACCTTTGGCATACTGAGCAATGATGTGCTCGATCTGGTTTGATGGAGCAACACTTTGGACATTTAAAGATTACTTGACCTTCTCTGAATCCCATTTGTTGTATCATTTCTTTTGTAGCATTGCCTTTGGGTACTGCACCCTTGAAAAGTAAAGCTGATAACTAACTGATTTAAAAAAAGCATAAATGTATGCACGTTCCAGGAAACAACTAAGACACTTGATACATAAGTAAAATAGTTAAAGCTTACATTACTTTACCAAGTCCAAATAATACTAATAGTTTGTTTGTTTAACAATGTATGAAATCATTTTTAAAAAACTGACATAGATAATATAACTAATATAAAGTAACACACACAAAGAGGGATAGAGAGAGCGAGAGAGATCGACTGTACGCTTACTGGGTCCGTGAACATGGTCTTTAGGTGAGAAATGAAGGCCAGAAGAGTTAGCAACTGGAATATCGCTACATTTAGACTAGAGTAAATGGTGTTGATCGTGGGCACAAGGATAACTGCCATGACGACGAATTCAGCATAAATGATGAGCAGCCAAGTGAGAACAGCACAAATAATGCCACATATGTCCTGAAAAAAGAATGAAAAAAAAAAAAAGGGTAGAACGAATTACTCAAATATGTGACACGTGAACCCGTTTAGACAACAGTAACAGCAGCCTCAGTAGTAGCATAGAGCATAATGTGTCATAATAAACAAGATGATGAAGGAGAGTTGTAAACCTTGATGCACCAGAGCTTGCCACCGCAGCAACGATTGTGAATGTCCTTGTCCCTATGGTGATGGAAAGCTACATACCCATAATCCATCGCAATAAGCTCTTGAATCTTGGACATCAAGATTACTTATCTTGGAATCTCAGGAGCCGCAGCATCATCATTATCACCCTTCTCGTAACCACATATGTAACAATATAGTTATCAATAAATATACCCAGGCAAACTTTATTTTAACAAAAAAACCTTTATTTCTTTGGCGTGCAATGAGCTAATGCATAAATGCATGTACAAACATGGCTCTTTCTACCATAGCTATGTAAGAAGTATAGACTGCTCGTTCTTATGAGTGTATTTAAAAATGTGGGCGCCCAGGCTCAGGGTGCCCGAACGATTTAGTTTTGAATCGTTTCAAAATTCTAAAGTCGGGCGCACGTCTTTTTCGTAACCAACAATAGACATATAAGAAATACAGACTGCTCATTATTACGTGTGGCACTCATAGACATATAGGAAAAATAGACTGCTCGTTCTTACGTACGGCGCGGAAGCACAAGTAAAAAGAGACACAACATCGAACGTGGGTTTCTGTCTCTCTCGCACATTGCCAAAGTTAGGGGTCAGTAAACTAAGACCAGCTGATGCAGACTTGTGAAGTTGGCGCCCGTAAATATTAAATATTAATATTTTGCACCCATTTAGGGCTTAAACGATTCCTGCTTACTTGCGGATTACGGAGGTATATAAATTAATATGTAATTAAATGTCACAAAGTTTGTAAATGATGAATTTAATCATTGAGTGAGAGAATCTAGTAACTTTTGTCTAGTGACTTTTGGTCCAGTGCTCCGTTCCTGTTGTTCGGTACATGTCGTTTACTCCGTACTGCGCACTGCGGGTTCTACAAAATTTTTATCAGGATAGAAAACTTTAGTAGGTATATTAATCTATTAATTATCAGTTATAAGTTATTCAGCCTTTGGGTCAATACACACACACACACACACATTTTTTGATGACTATGCAATCTAGTGTAAACCCATTTACAAAACATTTTTTTTAATTAAGTACTTGTAAATTTATTACTGGGGCTGTGTTTGCATAGGCTCCGTTTGTAAAATGTTAAGGTCACGTGCATGGTGTAAGAATAGACAGGTGGGCCGAAGGCCCGCCTCTATCGAGTCCAATTTGTGTCGCAGTACATCTAAAATCCGCTAGGTGGTTTCGAGTAGTAGAGGCAGTTTTTATAATGGTCAGTATGACTATATAAAAAAAAAAAAAGAAAAAAGAAAAAAAAAATTTTCATACTATCAATAGCCTGCACGACACGGATCCCTCTGGTGGCTAGTATCGGTACTGCGACAAAATTTGAACTTTTTTTACAATGCGTTGAGGTAGGCCTTCGGCCCACCTGTCTATTCTTACACCATGGTCACGTGATAACCCCCCAACTGAAAATATGTGGTTATATCCTACATGTATAATTTATACCTGTAAGATATACGTATAATTACACGTAAAAATACACACAAATTTTTTGGTGCAAATTATACGTAAACATATACTTGATATGTATACGGGTGTAAATTATATGTATGGAATACACGTATATACGTAAACTTTTTTACATTAATTTGTTTTTTACTAACAATCACTCTTAATGTGAACATAAACTTAGTGATAAAGTAGATATGTAATTATTTCTCAAAAAATGATAGGTATAAATTTTCAGTTTCAAAAAAATTAACATTTTTTATTTATCAAATGTCTTATGTACATAATATTCGATATAAAAGTTTTGATTTCTTATACAATTTCTTCATAATTATATGGTACGAAAAATGCTAATGCAAATTATAAACTGTGAAGATTGGAATGAGCCTTTACACGTACAAAAAATTTGGAACAGCACAAACGTACTCTCTGCGGGAAGCATCTCTGAGACGATATGAACACACACCTTTTGAATACTATCAGTATCCATAGGTGTTAATACTTGCGATACGCTGATTATTCGCTTCGAAGGATCGTCAGATTGATCCACTTCTAATGGATAACAAAGTGTATACTCTTTCGATTCATTTGAATCCACGATAAATTCTAAAAGTTTAACATAATCTCCATCTACTGTTAAACCATAAGAATTATCTGATCGCAGTCTGCTCTTTTTACATAAAGTAAATAAGCACCCTTGCTTAAACATTTTTACATATGGTCTGGCGCTTAGTGATAATGAAAGCCGTTCAATCCATTTGTCATTGGTGGGGTAACACTTTCCAAAATATCTAGCATGTGAAAGTTTGAAACTATTTTTGGCGTGTTTTTTAAGTAAATAAGAAACAAAATCTATAACATTTGATTCTGGGTATCTAGATTCTACAAACAAAGAACAATTTGGAAACGTTGAATAAAGTGAGAAAAAAAAACTAGACGCAAGCCTCTAAATCACAATAAATTCGGGGTTCATCGCAATTTACACTTTGTGGAAACGAGTGCTGTAGTCTACTTGTATTGAATGAATAAAATATGCTTACCTCATAGAGACATATTGGATCCATGTGATTCAGTTCAAAAAAAGATTCCTCCCTTACTCGACTCAGTTCCGTGCTATGTTCACTAAGACTCTGCAATAAATAAACTTTGGCTTGGATTACAGTAAAAAGTTGTAATAAATTTACATGTTAGCTTATGCATTGTGACACTTTTATGTATATATAGTAAATCAAATACATATATTGTTATTGGTACAACTTACATCATTTTGTGACGATGCAGAATTCTCATGCCCACAAGGATTGACCTGATCTTGTGTATGATAATGAATCAACGACGAATTACTTGAAGTCGAATTTGAGTTCAGGCCACTCTCCAAAACATTATGTGGAATTGTTTCTTCACTGCTGTAATTGAAACTTTCGTTTTAATCGCGGTTTTGATGCTCCTCACAAGTGCGTGTGCTGTTCGATTCCCTAGGTATAGCATCACTATTCTGATATATATATGTTGCTATAAATGTTTATGATAAGTGCGAGTGAGACGGTGATATCATGCTGTCTCCCTCGCACTTATGATAAATGATCACGTGACCTTAACAGACTTAATAACAAACAAAGCCTTAATTAGGCAAACACAGCCTGTGCCACTTTGATCCGTTTCCACTGGTCGGTAACTTGATCTTCAATTCGCCTGATTGATCATTTACGCGCGAAATTTGAATGCTTGAGCTGTTTTCTAAAACTTGTCCAAACAAAATTATTACTTGTGTGCTTACCTGTGGCTTGTCTTGTAATGATTATAGCTGTACTGCTACTTTTTAGTTGTATTGTTATTTGTTTCTTACATAACAACAAATATTGAAATTTCGCGCGTAATGAATAAATATCAGTCCACAGTGTTTGCCACAATAGATTCCAGATATTAGATTCTTAAGATAAAAAATCTGTACCTATTGACAAATAAATTTTTCCTTGAGTTTGAACTATGTAATGTATGTGTGTGTGTGTATTGACCCAAAGGCTGAATAACTTATAACTGATAATTAATAGATTAATATACCTATTAAAGTTTTCTATCCTGATAAATATTTTGTAGAACCCGCAGTGCGCAGTACGGAGTAAACGACATGTACCGAACAACAGGAACGGAGCACTGGACCAAAAGTCACTAGACAAAAGTTACTAGATTCTCTCACTCAATGATTAAATTCATCATTTACAAACTTTGTGAAATTTAATTACATTAATTTATATATCTCCGTAATCCACAAATGAGGAGGAATCGAATCGTACAGGTAGAATTGGATTTTAATCCAATTTAGCACTTAAAACAAAGTTTTTTGTACTTCAGCGCCGCGCTCATTTTTGACTTTTTATTTTGCAAATATCTCTCAAACTATTGATCCGCAAATGAAAATTCAAGTAGAGGATAAATCCGCAAGTAAGGAGGAATCGTTTGAGCCCTAAATGGGTGCAAAATTTTAATATTTAATATTTACGGGCGCCAACTTCACAAGTCTTAAGGTGCACAGTGCACAGTGCACAAGAATAACATTGGTTGATATACCTATATACATAATGCACAACGCGTTGTGTTTTACGTTTTCGCAGATATAGATATACCAACCAGTGTTATTCTTGTGCACTGTGCACTGTGCACCTTATGTTAAATTGACTGCGTAGGCCTTAACGGTGGGGGTAAGGCTGCAGTCACATGAAGCGCAATAGAGCGAGCAGGATAAGATTGTCCTACGGAAGCCCGTATGGCTCATGCGCGCTCCATGTTGCGCGAGCACATACGGAAGCAAAAAATGTGCTTGCTCCACCTAAGGAAGCGCACTTGCACGCTGTGCTGCTTGCTCCTGTTTTAGGAGTCTGTCTACAATGTATCGATGGTTCGTTGCGCTGCGTTACGCTCCTACACGACGTATTGTTTTATGAGCTTAAGGCACATTATAATTTAGTAAAAGCTAACCTATTCTTTTGTTAATAATATTGGTGTTCTTGTCGTTCTTGAGTTGTTTAATGTCTTGTGAATACTCTATTAAGAATCATAGGCAAACATGTCTCGCTACGTGAAAGTTGTAGAAAACAACGTATCTGTGAAATTGGAGGTTACAAATGGAAAGTTGGAATTGTCAACGTTACATTTATATTTTCCAGAAGCAACGTCATTAACATATATACAAAACGGCGATGTGATAGGGTTATCCATTAAAGATAACAAAATTGTCCTTGACAATAACATTGACGAATATCAAGTATTTAATCCGAGATTTAATCCTTCGAGTAACACTAATAGTAAGTTGATACTCGTATGGCTACATCGAAATATTTCTCGAAATAAATCGAATAAATCGAAATTGAAATAAAAATAAAAACAGTAATAAGTAAAACCCAATTAAGATGTTGTAAACAAAAGAATAGGTTAGCTTCTACTAAATTATAATGTGCCTTAAGCTCATAAAACAATACGTCGTGTAGGAGCGTAACGCAGCGCAACGAACCATCGATACATTGTAGACAGACTCCTAAAACAGGAGCAAGCAGCACAGTGCGCAAGTGCGCTTCCTTAGGTAGAGCAAGCATATTTTTTGCTTCCGTATGTGCTCGCGCAACATGGAGCGTGCATGAGCCATACGGGCTTCCGTATTGTCCCCATTCGCTACGTGCACAAGCTGAAAAAGTGATCGCAGCAATACCTGTGCTAATATGTGAAACTAAACGATAGGTTTGTCTTCTGCTAGCAGACTGCTAAGTATTGCTATCATCAGAAAGTTATGTGTTTATACATCAACAACCATTCTAAGGGTTAAATTTTTAATAAAATTATGAGTAGAATGTACACATTTTACTCAGGCATGTTCATTAAAAAACGCAGTGAAATACATTGGATACTGTGTATTTCTTAGAGTTTTTAGCTGGGGTCTGATCCTCTAAGCGTATCGTATGAACGTGTGTACATACTGTGTGAACACGCCGGTATAGGGCTAACGGAGCTCTGTGATTGGTCAGAGGAGGTCTGTGTTGACTACATTGCAAACTAATAAAACATATCTCGTATCACACAGTAGACAGTACACACGGACATACTTAGCGCTTATAGTGCGTGTAGTACAAATTTTGTCTTTAGTTATTCACATAGGATTGTACCACTTGAGACATTGTATTAATTCGTGATATAATAAACACAGAACCTTTCGTGTATCTATCGAGGTACTGGGTTCCTATAGGTATCAAGCACATATCGCGAATATTGCCTTCTGCTGTGCCAGACCAATTGTTGTCGTTTTTCCCTATGATGGCGCTGCTTCAAAATTGTGCACGTAGCGAATAAGCGACTGTGTTAAGCCTGTTGCGCCGCGCAGTAGGGCTATCCTGCAGCGCAATAGACTTAACACAGTCGCTTATTCGCTACGTGCACAATTAGGGCTATCCTGCAGCGCAATAGACTTAACACAGTCACTTGTGGGGACAATTCTATCCTGCTTGCTCTATTGCGCTCCATATGTAACTGCAGCCTACGTAAACTAAATCTCAGAGATGAGTAGAGAGATTGCTAACGCCAATGCTACGATGCGAGACGACTTTTTGGCACTGATTGGAACGCCCCGCCGCTGCCAGCCGTCGAACCGGGCGCACATCTTACTACTCGTATCAGACATCGTGCGCCTAAGAGAAGAGGAATGGATTCGCATGGAAATGGTCATATAGGCGCACATTTTGGAGAGACGTGGAAGGGGTATACCGCATGTGTGTCTACGAGGAGAGGAGTGGAAATGTTGACTATAGCTATATATCTGAGCGCACAGCCAAAGCAAGCGACGACACGAGTTTTTCTCTTTTGACTGCAACTGAGTAAATCGTATATATATATTAAACTGATTTTTGCTCCCGCTCTTTTTTTTTTCCACTACTTTTAATACTTATTTTGAAATTCAATATTATTTTGAAAAAATGTTCAGCTATTTTTTTAAGGATGGTAATTCAGTTATAATCACTAATTTTTTATTTTCCCTCATAATTGTTATGAACTGTAGGACAAGCTCTAAAGGTTTTTAATGAATATAAGTGGCTTTAAGATGACTGTCAACGAAGTTTTGGTAGCTAAGTTGCTTGATACTTGTACCGCCTCTCGAATTATTTTGCTATCACGGGATCGATTCCAACTTTCTGAAGATTTTTTTTTTTTAATGTAGTTCATCGTTTTGGTTAAATTTCTTTTATTTGTTTATTATTCAAATTTATAAATAATGTTACCTTTTTTTTTTTTTTTTTCGATACGTTGAAATAAATGTATTTTTTATACTAAATCTATTCAATAATTTAGTAAGTTAATACTTCTCGTTGGCAAGGCCATTTCGCAATTTCATAATAATAAAATAAATTTCTTAAGATGTAAGTATAATTCATACATTTTAAAACTCACAAGAAATCGGACAGTCCGATACGAGTAGTAAGATGTGCGCCCGCGCCCGGTTCGACGGCTGGCAGTGGTGGGGCTCTCCGATCAGTGCCAAAAAGTCGTCGCGCGTCATAGCATTGGCGTTAGCAATCTCTTTACTCATCTCTGCTAAATCTGGCTGCTGAAACTTTCCCGGCAATATGCGAAAGAGACAGATATCCACGCTCAATTCTGTGTCTCTTTCTACTTGTGCTTCAGCGCCGTACATAAGAACGAGCTGTCTATAATTCTTTTATATCTATGTTACCAACTTAATGCAAAATTCAACTCATATGAAGCTCTTCACCTAGACGTGACACATTACCATTAGTTCTAAATAGGACTGTCGGAAACTGTTGCATCCATAATTCCACAGACACATAAGAAATATAGACTGCTCGTTCTTAGGTACGGCGCTGAAGCACAAGTAGAAGGAAACACAGCATCTAATGTGGGTATCTGTCTCTTTCGCACATTTTCACCTTTGGCAACGGGCAAGAAAGACAGATAACCACGTTCGATGATCAGTTACAATTTTCTTTTATCATTCTTCCTCTGCCTTGCTTACAGCAATCACGCGATTATTGCACGATCGCCACATGATTATCTTCCGATTATTACGCGATTGACTCGTGATACGCGCGTGACGAATTGTACAGCTTTCTCACGTAACGATCGCGTGATAATCGCGCTATGTTGGCGAAATAATTGGAGCGAAAAATATGCAATGTTTTCACCACTAATCTGTACATTTAGCGACTATAAGAGTTTATGCGTTCAATTGTAGATGTTGACTAAGATACTGCTCAATTGATCAATTGGTGGACTGCAAGAATTTTAATGTACAGTTGCCAGTGCTGAATAAATACAGTTAATGGCTGTACAAAATTTCTCATATTGCTGTAATTGCGTAGTAAAAATATATTTATTTTAAAAGCTTATCTATGTGAGCTTATGTTTTATCAACTGGGGGACTAAGATTTTTTCAAATTATTAACAATATTGTAATCTGAA